CAATTGGTTTATTCATCTTTTTATTGTTGGATTGTAAGAGTTCTTCATACATTCCAGGTACTAGAGTAAGATACATAATTTGTAAATTTTACACACACACACACACACACACATATATATTTGTATATGTTAAATACATATAACCTGCAAAAGCCAGAACCTGTGTAAGGTGGAAACCTGTCACAGAAAGCAAGCTCAAATATTTTCCATTAAAACGGGCAACAGAAAAGTGGTAAGACTGCACCCTGTCAAAAGCAGAAAACTTGCAAGACCTGGGGAAACAAGGTAGTTGTATCAGGTTCTGGCTGTCACAAGTTTCACTGTATTACATATATGTGATTTGCAAATATTTTTTTCTACTCTGTGGGTATCTTTTCACTTTCCTGATAGGTGTCTTTTGAAGCACAAAGTTTTAATTGATGAAATCCAATTTATCTCTTTTTCCTTTAGTTGCTTATGTTTTTGGTGTCATATCTAAGAAACCTTTGCCTGATCTGAGGTCATGAAGATGTATTCTTATGTTTTCTTCTAATAGTTTTATAGTTTTAATTCTTACATTTAGGTCTTTGATCCATTTTGAATTAATTTTTGCGTATGATACGAAGTGTGGGTTCAACTTCATTTGTTTGCATGTGGATATCTAGTTGTCCTAGCAGGATTTGTTGTAAAGACTGCTGTTTTCCAACTGAATTTCTTGGCACCTTTGTTGAGAAGCAATTGATCATGGTGTGTGGAGTTTATTTCTGGACTCTTGACTCTCTTCCACTGATCTGTATGTCTGTTCTTACACCAGTACTACACTGTTGATTACTGTTGTAGAAAGCTTTGAAATTGGGAAGTGTGAGTCCTTCAGCTTTGTTTTTTTGTTTTAAAAGACTGTGTGTTTTTGGTTATTTGGCTACTTGCATATCCATATGAATTTTAGCATTAGCTTGTCAGTTTCTGCAAAAAAGCCAGCTGAGATTTTTATAAGGATAGCACTGATTCTGTAGATCAATTTGGAGAGTGTTGACATCTGGACAGTATTAAGTCTTCCAATCCATTTCTGTTTATTTAGGCCTTCTGTAATTTCAACTGTGTTTTGTAGTTTTCAGTGTACAAGTCTTACAGGTGATCTGCTACATTTATTCCTAGGTATTTCATTCTATTGCTATTGTAAATGAATTGTTTCCAGGTAAACGGAAATGTTTTCTTGTAATTTCATTATTGGATTGTCCACTGGTAGTATATAGAAATGTAATTGATATTTGTATATTTATCTTGTAGCCTACAATTTTGCCAGATTCGTTTATTAAGTCTTTTGTGGATTCCTTGGGGTTTTCTACTTACAAAATCGGGTCATCTGCAAAAGAGCAGTAGCTTTGCTTCTTCCTTGCCAATCTGGATGCCTTTCATTTCTTTTTCTTGCCTAAATGCCCTGGCTAGAACCTTCGGTATAATGCTGAATAGAAGTAGTGAGCAGACATCCTTGTGTTGTTCCTGATCTTACAGGGAAAGCTTTAGTCTTTCATCATTGATATGATCTTCTCACTCCCTGCCATAGGTTCAGTTCCAACTCACAGCAACCCCTATTGGGTTTCTGAGGCGGTAAATCTTTACAGAAGTAGATTGTCCCATCTGCCTTCCTCAGAGCAGCTGGTGGGTTTGAACTGCCGACCTTCTGGTTAGCAGCAGCCAAATCCTTTATCCACTACACCACCAGAGCTCCTTGAGTATGGTATTAGCTGTGGTTTTTTCACAAATGCCCTTTATCAAGTTGAGGATGTTGTCTTCTATTCCTAGATTGTTGAGTGTTTTTAATCATGAAAGGATGTTGGATTTTGTCGCTTTTTTTGGGGGGGGGGGCTATTGAAATGATTGTATGTTTCTCCCCCCTTTATTCTTTAATCTTCACACCAAACCAACAAGGGATTGTTTTCTCCATGATATGAGAAAAATGAGATGTCTTTTGAAGAGAGGGTAATGTGATTTGACAAAAGGCACACTGCTGATGAGTGGGGGACCCAGGATACTTGAGAGTCCATTCAGCACTAATGCTTCTCTACACCTGAGTGAGCTGAAGGAAGAGGAACAGGAAAGTTTACATGGGCTTTCTGCCCTCCGTCACAGAGATGTTGCTCCTTCATCCCACAGTTACCTGCAAACATAGCCCGAGTGTCCTGGAACCTGCTATGAGTTACGTCCTTCGAACCCACTCTTGAGTGAGAATGTGAGGCTTGTTGGCTCAGCTGCCCACTTCCGTGCCTCACCGGTTTCTTCCTCTTCCTTCAGGGCTATCTCCCCCTGACCCCGCCCTTCCCCAAGAGGAAAGCACAGGAGAGGAGGGGATGGCTACTGATCTCCTCACAGCTGGGCCCCAGGTGAGTTGGAAATTTACAGAGAAAACTTTTTTTTCTCCTAGTGTTAATTGTAGGGTTTTGTTTTCCCTAATTACGGAAGTCATTCGTGTTCACTGCAGAAAACCTGGAAAATACACAACACACAAAGTTTAAAAAAATCACTCTTAATCACAAAAAATAACATTTAACATTTTAATTTTTTTATTTTCAATCATATTCTTCCTTTCATCTCCCCAAATGGATTTGCCGTGCTTTATAACTTCCTTTTTATTTCTGCTTAGCAAAATTTGATGAACACGTCCCCATTTCATTAAGAATAACCTACATGAACATGTACCCAAGGTAGATACACTCCCTGGAGAGAACAATCTTGGGAGAAAGAAGAGTGGTTTATGCACCAGGACATAGCTCAGGGGGCAGAGAGTATGGAGGGATGGACACAGGGAAGAGGTAACTATGGGGAGGAAGTGGGAGGGGAGCTGTTGCATTGGGGTAAATTGTAGTCAATGTTATGAGACAAAGTGTAGGTGAGCTGCTGTATGGAAAGTGAATTTGCTCTGTAAACTTTCACCCAAATCACAATTAAAAAAAAAAGAATAACCTACAAAATCCTTTCCAGTGTCTGCATTCTTTTCCACTACTGCACAGCCACTCTGTAAGGGCAAAACTGTCTTCTCCCCTATTTTATTGCCTGGACTAGGTAAATACATTTTCTTATTTTTTGCTTCTGCTTTCCTCAGATTTTAAATTTATTTTTTAATCTCACAAGTTGACTGTTTAATTCATTTACATCCTTTCTTGGTTGTATTGAAAGCTTTTAGCTTTTTTTTTTTTTTTTTTTTAAATAGTCCAAAATTATTATTTTCATTTCTTTGCCCATTTAGCCGGTCTGTGCTTGGTGAAGACAGAATCCATCTCTCTTTGTCAACACAAAATACCCAAGTATAGTCACATTACAGGGCAAAGGACATAACAGCTCTCTCAGCTCAACCTTACTAAGTAAATTATTCAGTTCTTCCATATCTTTATCTGTTTATCTTCTAACTAGTTGATCTCAGTAATTAAATTACTCGGACATCTCGTAGCAGTTATTATTTTCTTTCTTCTTGTATTTCCTGTAGTTACTTTTCTTTTGTTATTTATGACATTTCTATCTTTATATGGATTTTACTCTGGATTATTAGAAAGTGACCCTATTGTTTTATTATATATATATTTTTAAGACCCACTTTGTCCCATATATTTCTTAGTATAAAAGGTAGATTGGAAAGGCAAGGTAAAAGTTAAGTGAGAGACTTGTTAAGTTGGGGAGATGAAGTTGGCAGAAGCAGGGAGGTGGAGACAGATGGTTGGATTCTAGTGATACTGAGGAGGAATCTGGAAAGGCTTTAGGAAAGGAGGGAGGATAACACTTAGATTCCTGGCTTTGCCAGTGAGGTAAGTGGAGGTCCCACTCCCTGGGTTAGGACTAAGCAAGGAAAAGCAGGTCTGCAGAAGATAGGTTTCCCTGTTGCATTTTGTTGAATTTGAGGTTCCTGTGGGGCTGGCCAGGAGATAATTACTGCCTTATGTTAAGAAGTTAATAATTAGTAAATCACTAATCTGGTGATTTGTTGTTATGTGCCATCAAGTCCGACCCAACTCATAGTGACCCCTCCTTGGGTTTCCAAGGCAGTATCTCTCAGAAGTAGATCACCCAACCTTCCTTCTGAGGAATGGCTGGTGGGTTTAAACCACCAGCCTTCTGGTTAGCAGTCAAGTGCCTTAGTCACTATGCTACCAGAGCTCCCAATTTGGTGATTAGTCTTTTACACCTGCCTACTTCTGCTCCAAGTACCTAGCGCAGGGTACATTGCATAGAGTAGGGGCTTGCTTGTTGTATGAACAGTTTCTGCTGTTACCTACATCCCTTAGGGCTTTTGCTCTGTCTCTCCTGAACTCCAGTCCCATGTTTTCAGATGTTACAGAACAACTGCAGCAACCTTGAACTTGGTGGGCCCAAACACAAACTGTGTACTTTGCTGACAAGCCTCCTTTTCCTATGTTTCTTAGTTGTTGACATCACCATATAGCTGATTTTCCAAGAAATCTCTGATTCATCCTCAGATTTCTTACAAAATCCATTTCCAGTCATGCATCTGTTCCCCATTGGAGGGCACGTCATCTCTCAACATGACACTGACCCTGTTAGATGTTACCATCCTCTCCCCACCTCCATCTCAAGGCACATCTTTCCCTGCCACCTCGGGGATAAAAGCACCACTTTTTATCAAGTTATTTGAGGCTTTTTACACTTTGACTTCAACCAGTCTTTCCAGGCCCTTCATTCCCTCACCCCTTCATTCCTACTGCATAGACCCCTTGCCATCCTCTGAACAAACAAGGGCTTTTTTTTTTTTTTTTAATTGTGATTTGGGTGAAAATTTACATAGCAAATTCACTTTCCATACAGCAGTTCACATATACTGTCTCATGACATTGACCACAATTTACCCCAATGCAACAGCTCCCCTCCCATTTCCTCCCAACAGTCACTTCCTCCCTGTTTTCATCCCTCCATGCACCCCTGTCCCCTGACCTGTCTCCCTGTGCATAAACCACTCTTCTCCCTCCCATGATTGTTCTCTCCAAGGAGTGTATCGACCTCAGGTGAATGTTCAACTCATATGCCTGTCTTTTGTTTGGCTGGAAGCCATAGGTGTGGGTTCAATTCCAGACCTGAAGGGCAGCTAGAGGCCATAGGCTCAGTGGTTCCACCAGGGTCTATCAGACCAGCAAACCTGGTCCTACAAGGGCTTTCTTGCCTCTTGCTTTTGCTCATGGTGCCTCCCCTGCCTTGGATAGCCTTCCCTTGGTCTATGAAGGCAACCTCCTTCTTTGAGGACAGTTCAGTGAGTGCCTTCTTTCTGTGGTTCTCTGAATGTCTCCTCTCCCTTCCCTCTTCCAGGATTCTTCATCTGTTTGACAAATATTATTCCAGCCGGTTGCTTGCATACCTGGCTCTCTTGCTGTACAGTGTGATCTGAGTTCACGGGAATCTTTGTGAAATGTTCTACAAATTCATTTTTCACATTTCTTTCCTAATTTGCACCTAATTCCTAACCATATGAACAGACATTCTAAATTTTTTTCCCCTCTATTGGCTCTTCAACTCTGAAGCACCTTAGTTCCTACGCAAATATGTCTCATCTATATTTTCTATTTTTATATAAGGTCTACCAAAATTACAAATGCATACAGACAAGAGACTGTATTTTTGTTGTTGTTGTTGTTGTTAAATCCAATAGTGTAGACATGTAGAAAGTGATCAGCAAATGCTTTTCTTAACCCAAAGTCCTGAATCCTTTCAGAGCCTTCGAGGCCTGCTGTCCATGTTCCCCAGAGTTTCCAACATCCCCACCCCCCTTGCCTCCACCCCAGATCCTGGGGCCACTAGCTGAGCTGGAATGTGGTGTTGTTTCAGGGATCCATGTCCTTCAGCAGTGTGACTGGAGCTTTTACCCAAGAGGGCTGGAGACACCCAGTCCCTGGTCTGAGGGACAGGTACAAGGAGGGGATACCAGAAAAGTCCAGAAACCTGGTCCTATTGGGTAAGAAAACCTCTTTAAAAAAAAAAAAAGATTTGAAATTTGCTTGTTGCTACCTTACTTGGTTCTGAAAATCTGGCACTTTCCAAAGTGCTTACCTTACCTTACCTATTGCCATCAAATCAATTCCAACTAATAGCGGCCCTATACAGCAAAGCAGAACTGCCCCATAGGGTTTCTAGAGCTTTACAGAAAGACTGCCAAATCTTTCTCCTACAGTGGCTGGTGGGTTCAAACTGCCAGCCTTTTGGTTAACCGCTGAGCACTGAACCACTGCATGACCAAGGCTCCTTTTCAAAGTGCTTCTTGTTGTTGTTATGTGCCGTCAAGTCAGCCCTGACTCATAGCGACCCCTCCTTGGGTTTCTGAGGTGGTATCACTATGGAAGTAGATTGTCCAACTTTCATTCCAAGGAGTGGCTGGTGGGTTTGAACTGCCAGCCTTCTGGTTGACCACTGAGCACTGAACCACTGCATGACCAGGCTCCTTTTCAAAGTTCTTACGATCTCCAGTTGCCCCAGTACACCAGAGGGAGAGTGCTTAGTCTTCTTTGTTCCCTAGGGAAAGAACTGTGCTCTCATTTGGCAAATAGGCAGTTTCATTTTGTTCCTCCTTGAGGCTGCATCGTCGCCATTCTTACTTCCCAACAGAGGTCGAGTCCTCCAGACTCAGTAGGTTCCCAGCTTCCTAAATAGGTTGTTTTACAGGCTTAGCTTAATACCTCAGCTTAACCCCCTCCTTGAAGTTTTGTGTTTAGTTCCTTCCAGAAATGCTTTACCAAGACCTTAGAACCATGTCTGTCTTAATTACTGCTGTATCCCCTAGTGCCTAGCACCAAATAAATGCACAATAAATATTTGTTGAATGAAATAAATAAATAAAAGGCTTGCTTCCTCTCCCCTGAGTTTTGAGTGGCTATTTATACTTAGTACAGATCTCTAAGTCCCATTTATTCCCCTTTAATAGGACTTCCAGTCTCCCAGCCTGGCTCAAACTCCAAGTTAGAACAGAGAGAAAAACCATGGATGCTGGAGGGAGAAGGCCTAAGAAGTGCCTGCCCAGGTCAGTGAGCAAGCACTAAGCTGCTAAGATTCTTGGGAACAAAAGCCCCTTTGAAACACTGAGTAGTGCATTTGATTATTACACCAACCCTGTGAGGTAGAGATTAACTTTATTTTACAGATGAGGAAATGGGAACTGTCGGTCGCTCTCCTCTCCATCTTACCATCCTCACATCCAATGTGGGACATGTAGGTAAGCAACCCATCAGGTGCACCTCAGTCCGCATTGTAACCGGGTGCCGCTCATCCTTGCTGAAACTGCCTTTCACAGGGAGCTTCACTTATGCTTCCTTTTCCTGAGCACTCCATCCTCCCCAACATGCCTTGTTTGGCAGGGCCTTTTAACCTGTGTGAAACCTCAGCAATTGGGTACATATCTTGTGGCTAGGGGAAGGGCATTTTTCTGGGAAAAAGGTTTATCATGGTCACAGAGGGATTCAAGATCTTAACAAGGTTACCTCAAAAGGTTTAGATCATCATTATTATTAGAAACAGAAGTTGTAAAGGGTGTTACCATCAGCTACACGTGCTCCAAGGCATTAGTGCAGGGAAGCAGCAGCGACTTTGGAGGTGGATGCATGGAAGATAGATATTCAAGTTCTGACTTACTACTTAGTAACTGATGAGTTCAGGGTAAACCATTGAACTACATGATCATCTGTTTCCATATCTGAAAAACGTGGGCAATAAAATCTCACTTTATGAACTAATATATGGACAAAAACTTATGGAGTGCTATTTAAGCTATATGATAGTGATCAGAAGTTTAATGTAAATTTTAAATTAAATTTGGCTATTAGAGTAATTCAAATACTGCTTCTGTGATGTTACACCTCTGCTCAGAGACCAGTGTCCTGGGCATCACCGGCTCCTCCATGGGCTGGTTTCAGGGGCCTCCGTGATTCCACCTCATCGCACCTCTCCCAAAATGACAGACACAGGCCTTTAGACTACCTTTTGCGTCACTGCTTGCTTGGGAACTTCTGTCATGGATGCTGCTATTTCCCCAGGTCCAGCTAGTCTATTTGGCTCAGTCACATGCATTCAACTATTATGCCAACAAATTATTATGTCAACAAATATGCATTAAGCATTTGGTACATGCTTGGCATTGTTTTGACAACAGAGAACAAAACATATTTAAAAAATAAATAAATAAATGAAATAGCTAATATAATTTTAGATAATGAGTGTTATGAAGAAAATAAGGCAGGGTCCTGAGGGACACAAAGCTGTGTCAATGAATAGAGATGGGGGAGAAAGGACTATTTCAGGTAAGAGGATAGGAAAGACCTGAGATTGAAGAAGACAATGAGCCAGCCATGAAGGTCGAGGGGAGGAACATTCTGAACCACAGCATGTGTTGAGGCATTGAGGTGAGAATGAGCTTGGCTTGTGTTATGATCAGAAGACCTCTGTGGCTAGAGCATGGTGAACAAGAAGAGTGGGAGAGAGGACTGATGATGATGGTGGATTGTCGGCTGTGGTAAGGCTTTCAGATTTTATTCACATAGGAAAATATAAAGCCATTGGAGAATTTTAAAGCAGGGAAAGGGTGGTATTTGATAGATGTTTGAAAAGAAAATTCAGCATACATATGAATAGACTTTCATAGATCAAGAGTGTAAGCGGCAGGCCAGTTAGGAATAAGCTGTTACAGACCATGAAATGATGGTAGCTTGGTAGGAGAGAGATTCAGGATGCACTTAGGTGTTAAAGCCAACAGAACTTGGAAATAGATTGAATGTGGGATGTGTGGGGAGAGAGTCATTAAGGATGACCCAAGTTTTTTGGCCAGAGCAGCTGGGTAAATGGGAAGACTGACAAAGATGCTGGCTTAAAGGCGGAATCGGTAGTTCTGGTTTGCATGTATTCGATTTGGGATATCCATTAGATACGCTGATACAAGAGTCGGCACTCGGGAGAGGTGGACTGGGATCCAGCCATTAGTGAGCATTATAGGGTATTCTGACTTGCTCCTGTCTCACTGCTGCTTGTCACTTCTCCTGCTTCTGTTTCTTACTCAAATGGCCTGTTTGGGAGAGCCATCAAAGCCATATGCTCGAATATCAAGTTACATAGAGATGTTGTCAACTTGAAATGGAACACTCTCAGTGGATCATGAATATGTACCTGCGTAATACTTTAGGATGGCTGACAAGAACAGGTCAAAACACCAGTACCAGTTGCTGCTGAGCTCACTCTGCCTCATGGTGACTCCATGTGTGTCACAGTTGAATGGTGCTCCAAAGGGTTTTCAGTGCATGATTTTTCAGAAATAGATCACAAGTCTTTCTCCCAGGGAGCCTCTGGATGGACTCGAACCTCTCTTGGTTAGCTGCTGAGCATATTAACAATCTGTACCACCCAGGGACTCCCCACAATAATCATACTCCTGTAACATTTACTATGTATCAGGAATGGTTCTGGGTGCTTTATTTAATCCTCGAAATTCTGTGAGGTAATTACTATAATCATCTCCTTTCACAGGTGAGAAATCAGCGGTATAGGAAGACGAAATGATTCACTCCAAGTCATACGTAGTAAGAAACAGACCTAAGATTTGAACCTAGAGTGTCTGGGTCAAGGTTCAGTGTGGAAAGGTGCCTAGAACCTCTGAGAAATAAGGTAGAAAGGGGAAGAATACCTTAAAAAAAATAAAAAAATCATGCCTTGTTGAAAGCTCTAGCCCTCTCTATTAGTCACTTTCTTACCCTCAAGTCCCTGTGCAGGAGACAGGCGTCTGGGACTGGCAGTGGATCCAACACGGGCGAGGATCTTAAGCTTCACTTAATGTTTTAAAACATTCCAAATATTAACTTAACATTTAAAAGCTTTCTTTAAAATGTGGGAAGTTCCATAGAGGATCAAGAATCATGAACTCTATTTAAAGAAATTAATTTTCCAATTATAAAATAATACCATTTAGTCTTCTTAAATTACCTTTTTTTAACTACTGAAAATAAAAGTTCATTTAAAATTTGGAAAATACAAAAAGGAATTTAAAAAAAATCAAGATTCCCTATAATCCCACCACACACAAATAATCTTATCACAAAATACAGTAATACATTACTGCATATTCTTTGAAAGCAAACTTGTAATATTTATTATAAAAATAATGCTATTATTGGAGAACATTTCCAAAATACAAGTATTAAAGAAAATAAAAATCACGCCTGATCTCACAACCCAAAGACAGTATACCACTCCTCACTTACCAACGAAGTTATGTTCCAAAGACCAAGTCATTATGCAAAAAAATATTAAAAAATGGAAGCTGACTGTATCAGATCACAAAATGGAGGAAGACTACATCATTACACACCTACAAAGCCACTGAGAATCACAGTCCAGCCAAGCGTGACTCTTACCTTGTAAAACTCAGTGTTCAATACTGCCAAATGTAAATTGCTTATGTACAAAATAGTAAGATAGATTTTTTTCCTGTTGTCATAAATGTGAGTCGTCAGATAATAAGATAATAAGAGTAGGTATACAGCTAACATTTACATTACCTATCTTTCCAGTCTTTTTACAGTAACTATCTTTTAAAAAAATTATATTGTACAGATTTCAAATGTGAACATGACTTATAGTTGACTAATGTCCCTTCGCTGGCTATACTGTTAACCGTGCCCTTATTTAACATTTAGTTGTTTGCTTTTTCACTTGATAGTGATGCTATGATCACCCTTGTCTATACATCTTGTATGATTTCTATTTCCTTAGACTAAATTCTTAAATAGAACTAAAGTATTTAAGCCTAGTAACCAGACTGCCCAAAACCACAGAGAATTTAAATTTTGGTAAAAGTAGGAATGGTCCCCAGAAGACAGTATGACTTCCCACTACCTGGTCTTTTCCTTAGAAACAGGCAGAGTACTGCATCTGAGGCACAGGAGACTGGGGTAAATTTCATCCTATTTGCAGTTAGGAAAGGTGCTAATGGGTGCTCTGAGAGCTAACATTAAGTTTTGAAAAACAATCTTGGTCATTCTTTAATGAATTAGAACAGAAATATGAACCAAGTGTTCTAGATAGAAGGCAACTTAACAGAACCACCAAACCTGTCTGTAAGAACTTTGCTAAATTCTTAAGGAAATAAGGACTATTGATTTTCTTTTTTCAGACTGGAAGACTATATCCAAGGAATCACCACCAGAGCAAGACATCTCTGAAGAATCATTCCAAGACCCAAGTGTAGAAATTCCCCCTGGGGAGTCAGACCACAGGAACAGCGAATTTGGGAAAAGCATCAATCTGAGGCCAGTCCTTTCTCCACAACAGAGAGTTCCTACAGAATTGAGACCCCGTAAATGTGAAATACATCCAAAGAGCTTCAAGAACTCAGATATAATTAAGCTTCACAGAGCAAAACCGTACACATGTAATGAATGTGGCAAAGCCTTCAGTTACTGTTCATCTCTTTCTCAACATCAGAAGAGTCACACTGGGGAAAAGCCCTATGAGTGCAATGAATGTGGGAAGGCTTTCAGCCAGAGCTCATCTCTTATTCAGCATCAGAGGATTCACACTGGAGAGAAACCTTATAAATGCAGTGAATGCGGGAGAGCTTTCAGCCAGAATGCAAACCTCACAAAACACCAGCGAACGCATACTGGAGAAAAGCCCTACAAATGCAATGAGTGTGAGAAAGCCTTCAGTGACTGTTCTGCACTTGTTCAGCATCAGAGAATTCACACTGGAGAGAAACCCTACGAATGCAGTGACTGTGGGAAGGCCTTCCGCCATAGTGCAAATCTTACAAACCACCAGAGGACTCATACTGGGGAAAAGCCTTACAAATGCAATGAGTGCGGGAAGGCCTTCAGTTACTGTGCAGCATTCATTCAGCACCAGAGAATTCATACGGGAGAGAAACCCTACAAGTGTAATGCATGTGGCAAGGCCTTCAGCCAGAGTGCAAACCTCACAAACCATCACAGGACTCATACTGGAGAAAAACCTTACAAATGTAGTGAGTGTGGGAAGGCCTTCAGCCAAAGTACAAATCTTATAATTCACCAAAAAACCCATACTGGAGAAAAGCCTTATAAATGTAATGAATGTGGGAAATTCTTCAGTGAGAGCTCAGCCCTTATTCGGCATCATATAATTCACACTGGAGAGAGACCTTATGAATGCAATGAGTGTGGGAAAGCATTTAATCAGAGTTCATCCCTTAGTCAGCATCAAAGAATTCACACTGGTGTGAAACCCTATGAATGTAGTGAGTGTGGGAAAGCCTTCAGGTGTAGTTCAGCTTTCATTAGACATCAAAGGCTCCATATTGGAGAGTGAGTACAGAACTTGAGAAAATAAAACTTTTGAGAAAATGTCAACTCATTCATCATGAAGATAGGTAGTCTGAAGGCATCTGGGATATGTGACATTTATTCTGTGACCAGAACTACATGCAAAAGCACCTTCAATAAATACATGTGGGAGACTGAGCCCTCACACTGTTATTCATTACACATCACAGAATTTACAGAATCAAACTCAAAATTTTCAGTCAGCATTTACCTTCGTTCAGTGTGTAAGATAATACAGTAGCCCTCCAGACCATTCTTTAAAAAAATTTGTGATTTGGGTCAAAGTTTACAAATTCATCTCCCACAAAGCTATAGGCTCTCCTGTGTCCTTCCTTCCCATGTACTTCTGCGCCCCCGCCCCCCAGCTGTCTCCCTGTGCACACACAACCCTTGTTTTCCTGATTGATCTCTGCAAGGAGTATCTACCTAATGTAAATGTTTGGCTCACATGCCTGTCTTTTGTTTGGCTGGAAGCCACAGGAACCACTGTCTTATAAGTGATCAAAGCACTGAATAAAGAACTGGACTTTTACATCAAGGCCAGGCATTTAGGAAATGCTCTTACCTTTCCTTGAAGTAATGAGAGCTGTTACAAAGGGTGAACCAAGGGTAGAGAATTAGCCAAGCAATGACTTGTCCACTCCTCAGGTGTCTTGGTTGGGGAGATGTAGGCAAATGAGCTTCTAGAACCAAGTACTGGAATACTAGCATTTCATTTGGGGGAAATATACACTTCCCTGATAGCATAGTGGTTAAGTGCTAGGCTAATCTGAAGGCCAGCAGCCACTCCTAGTTGAGAAAAGACCTAGGAAGCCCTATGGTTCTATCCAGTAGAGTACCTGAGTGGGAATCAAATCACTAGTACACAATGCTGTTGCTAGAGGCATCAAGTCCATTTTTGATTCATAATAACTCATCATATGATAGAGAACTATCCCATGTTTTTCTAAGCTGTAACTGTCATCATTATGGGAGATTGCAGCCCAAGTGCTTGAACCATTGCGCCACCAGGCTATGAACCCTCACACCCCAACTAGTGAACTCTTCCCAGCACCCCTGTGCCTCCCTGGATGGTTCCTTGACAACTTGGAGACTGCATACCTCAGGTGTCCTTCCTGAAATGCTTATTCCTCTCCCCTGAGTTCTCGAGCTGTTCCATTTAAGGCCGAAATTTCTCAACCCTTAATGCACATTAGACTAGCTGGGCCAATTTAAAGTGACTACTGGCAAATCACTGAGAAGCTAAAAAATGACTAATGCAGGGAAAGTGGTTAAGTTCTCAGGGCAAAATACTCCCTTGAAGCCAGTACTCTAAAGCAAGCCCTTTCCAGGTGGTGGTTAAAGCTGCTCAGGAGGTCCAGCTTGTCCCAGTGCCAAGTATCTTGCAATTTATCCCTTTATTCCTCATATTGAGGTAAAAGTTTAATATAGGCAGTACAAAGTAGGTAGAAGGAACAGAATTTAAAGTAAGATTAATAAAGACTTGGCAAAGATAAAACTGATGTATCACACGAAACTCCATCTTTATAAATATTTAAGTGTTTACAAAAAGCGGATTTCCTTTCCAGATCTCCCCTTTCTTAGCTGGGTCCCGTACGTGCCATCTATCCACAAGGGGCTTGTTACCCAGATTGTCTCTTCTCCACAGGCCCCCAATGGCCCTCCAACTCCCAAAAGCTTCCCTCAGGAGCTACTACATCAAAAAAGCAAATCTACTGGTTACCAAATGATCCTTTATTGAAATTTTTTTAATTTTCAGCTCTGTGGGGGGGAAAAAAAAAAAAGCTCTATCAGTAATAGGACCAAAAAAAGAGTTTCCCAACCCCACTACTGGTAATTCCTAGAACTTGACAGCTTATATTCAGATAGATAGATTGGCCTTCCCATAGGGACTTCACCCCCACTTCAACCAAATGAAACTGATGCTAGTCACTTACAGCTGGGCATTCCACAGCACCGCTGTTGATGTCATCTATGATGTCATGAGGGTGACGGCCATCAACAGTGCAGCCCACAGACTGGGCAGTCCCCAAGATCTCTTTAATAGTTCCTGTAATTGAGAAAAGGTGGCATTAAAGGAGCTCAGCCCCTCACAATACTAAGTTGAACAGAAATAGCCCCATTTTGTGGAATAGCAGGAATGGCACACCAAAGCTTGGCATCCCATCTAGTTATGGGCTAGAGGCTTGAAGGCATGGTCTGCAGATTTAACCACATCCAGCCCAAGATTGTCATCACAAACTTAAGGGCATTCTTTCAAGTCCAGGAAGACATCATGCCCCAATGTGGGTCTTAAAAGTAAATCTCCCTAGTAGGAAGAGCTCCAACCACTCTGAAAATGACCCCAATTACAACAAAGTGGTTCCAAGTTGTATTGCTCTTACCAGAGAGTTCTCTGGCTAAAGATCGGTGTCGCATCTGACGGGCAATGCTGACAATCTCATCGAAAGTGATATTTCCACTATGCTTAACTGCAGAAAAGAAAACAAAGGCTGTCACAACCCAAAGCCAGAGGAGACCTCATGTCCTCAAATCATTGTCTAGGCTGTTCCCATGCTTTCGGCACAGAGTCATCCACATGAAGAACAACCCTGTTTCCTAAGCTGGGGTTTACTATCAGCTCACCACTGGATTGCACCAGCCAAGAAAAGAAGTGGTCAGGTGCGGTGGCAGGTGGCTGTGAACAGAACAATGTCTTTTGTTAACCTGACTTTATTATCCCTGTCTTAAGCTGAGGAAAAAGACTCAGGTTACCATCCTCAAGCCAGAAAGTTGTTTCCTGATTACAAGTCCATCATTCTCAGTCGCCTCATCCCATCTGACTGCCCATAATAAGCAAAGATGTTCACACCTATTTCCCACCTTCATGCACTCAAGTGAAGCATGCTCCACACCATCAAAGGCTGGGGAAAGCCACGTGGCATTTTGGTAGTGCCTGCCTCTGTACCAGTCTTAACTGAACACCCAATCCCCATGCCAACCACAGGTTTCATTATAAGGAAAATGCACAGCCCTTTATCAAACACCATCATTAACAAACCACCACTACGACAGGTTACCAAGGAAAAGGCAACTCACTATTTTTCTGCTTCTTCCTGTCTCTGGGTGGTTCCTTGAGGGCTTTGATGATCAGGGCAGAGGCAGAAGGCACCACCTCAATCTGCAGCAGAGATTCTTGATGTGAGTAAGCCCCATCCCACCACCGATGAAATGAAGACAAGCAGTACTGCAGTGCACCTCGGCCGAGTTCATGAGCCAGACCTTGGCCTTGCTATATATACATTCTCAAGCAATCTTCACCACTCTGACAGTGTCTACTAGTGCAGGAGACATTGAAGTGGTTTGCCCAAGATTACACAAGTGACAAGAGGTAACACTGGAATCTGTTTCTTTGCCTTGGGTACAGACTCTTGGAAAGACCTTCCCCAGAGATAAAATTAATCCCTTTTCCTAGTTAAAAATGGAATAGCATATGGTCTTTCAATCACCCCCCCACACACACACTCTGGATGAGTGACACCTATGTTCCCAGCCCATTACTGGTAGCAAGGTGTTGTGTCAGCAAACTTTCCACCCAGGGATCCAAAAAGATTGTTTTCTTTTCCCTCCCTCAAACCAAGTTACCAGTAAATACCTGAGCTTGTCTGTTCTGAATGGTCAGTTTCACAGTAATCCTTAGTCCCTTCCAGTCACCGGTTGCCTTGGCAATGTCATCACCAACTTTTTTTGGAGACTGCAGAAAAAGAAGTACATAATCACAGTGCCCAAAATTGAAACACAGCCTTAAAATCTGCCTATCACCTCACCTGGCTATATCCCAAATCTTCCTTTTCCAGTATTCAGGAATAAGTGAAGTACTTAGTCAAGGCACTGCTATCCCTATAGTGTAAATTGGGAAAATGACACTGGGTATTAATTTTGTCCAGTGCAGTCAATTCTAAGCTCAGGACCACCATGAGAGCCAAGTTCTTTACCTAGCTACTCCTCAAAAGGGCCTACGAAGTAAAGCAGGAGGCTGGAAATGAGGCTGGTCATCACCGGTTATATAAACCACTAGGTCTACACATTAAAACAGAGGCAAAGGTTTAAGTACAAGCTACCATACTGCTCACCAGGATCTTCAAACTTCCCCTATGCCATTTAGTCCTCCCAACAGTGCTAAGCCTATTTTCCTGACCAAAAAATGTAGGCTGCCCAACGTACTGCAAAATCACTCGACTCCAAAACCCTCATATTTGACTTCCAACCCAGGTCTCAGGTACACTAAATGCAGTTTAGTCAAGATAGAGTGAAGCTAACTTTAAGGATTTTCATACATAATCATTCTATAGTAGATACTACCTGTGCCTAGAATTCAGTCAGATTATAAACGATCGCAAGAACGTAGAAAACTCAGGTACACACACGTTTGCCTAAGCCAGAGATTACCTTTGCTCTTCTCATCTAAATTAATACACCTCCCTCCGTTAAGGTAACTCACCAGACCCAGAGGACCGATCTTGGGGGCCAGAGCGGACGTGGCACCAACTTCCCCACCGGTGCACCTCAGGTACACTGGGAGAAAGTAAGGATTAATGCTTCTGCAGAGAAAGCCCCCGACCCAGAGCCCATTCTCCGCATCTTCCCGGGGGCAGCAAAAACCTCAGCAATGCTTTGGACCGAGACAGACCACCCCTGTCCGCGAGCCACCTCCTCTCCTTGGGCGCGGGCCGCAGCGGGTGCCACGTGGTTGCAGCGGCCTCGGGTTCGGCGACCACCTACACCCCACACCCGGCTGGCACGGAAATAGTGTTCGGACGCCAGCGAACTCAGCGCAGAAGGTCAGAAATGCCCGGAAACAAACCTTACCCTAGGGCGTGCGGGCCTCAAAGCTGCCACCGGTCTTCTGGTCCTCCCTCCCCATTTACACATGGGGAAGCTGAGGCCCAGAAAGGGTAAGAGACTAGGCCAGGACCACAAAGCGCCCAGAACTCATCACCAAAAGCT